CACGAAGGAGCTCTCGGCGCGCGCCTTCTGCCGTGCAGGGCCGGCCGCAGCTTCGGTGAGCGCCGTGCCCACGGTGGCCGCGGCCGCCGGGGGATTTCTCGGCCTCGCCGCCCGCTCGATGCAGAGGGCGCCTCGCCTCGCCTCGCCCCGCCCTTAACGGGGCTGCTCGTGCTGCTGTCCGTCCTTGCCCCTCCCCCCGACACGGAGCTAGTTGCTGCTCTGAAACACCTGCACGTGAAACTGGGGGTAGATCGTGGGGACGCGTCCCGTCCTTGCACGCCGGCGGAGGGGACCAGTCGCGTTGGGGTGATCGGTGGAGCCTCAAATGAGCTCCTGTGTGCAGCGGACGCGTGTCCTCATTTGCCATTCCTAGTGCTTGTCTGTTATGCAAGCACAGATTGCTTAACCATCGTTTGGTGAATTGCCCCTCCAGTGTTGTTTGCTTGGTTTGGGGTCAGAGTAGTGCCCCAGCTGTTGTTCAGACCTGCTGCCCTTTCTTCCCACTCCAAACTTTTCTCCTCCCAAGCAGATCTGAAGCTGTGCCCCCCTTCTTTGGGCTGTGTTAGCACAGCATGTAAACCATGAGCCTGGGTTCACAAACCACAGTGGTAAAGTGAAAACCAAGAAAACTACGCTGACGTAGTGAACCCAAACGCGATCTGCTTATTTTGGTGCATCCTACAGTAGGAACACAGCTGTGGGTGGTTGGTTAAGCACAGTTTGTGGTTTAGCATGTGTCAAAAGAGCTTCTCCGAGCAGCTGCAAGCCATCGGGGCTGTGGAAATTGCTGCCCTTTGGGATGTTGGGCCCCCCTGTCAAGATCTGCAAACCATCCCAAAGTTGGAAGCCAAGGGTTGCAATGGGAGCCCATTGTAGGGAGGCTGCAGATGTGCTGAAGCATTTCAGCACTCCCAGGCAGTGGATCACCGCGTTGGTGATGTATCTGGCAGCTGCCTGTCAGTTGCCAGCGCAGAAGAGCTCCTGCTTGCAAATGACTCCCTGAGCTAATGTTGCGTTTGGCCCCCCGCAGCTGGAAGATCTTACTGAGCTGTAGCTAACTGTTTGCTCTCCAAGCTTTTGCGATCAATCAAAAAGCATGCTCCCCCTCTCCAGACCCTTGGGGTCATCAAAAAGGGAAAAAAATCTTTTTAATGCAATAAAGAATAAGGTGACCCATATCTAAAACTTGCCCTTATCTGTAACAAGGCATATAACAACTTAACGGAAGTGTTGTTGAGTGGAGTGTGAGGCAATAAACTCTTATCTCTGCTGGCTGATAGAGACGTTTCTTTAATAATAAATTATTATTATTTAATAATAAGCCATGCTAGAATGTCAGTTGGGGGTGTTGATGGCTGCTGGTGAACAGCCACAGAAGAAAGCCTGCCTGGATGGGGTGGAGTCAGTGGGGCAGCAGCCTCTTGGAGCTGGAAGGAGTCAAGGAAGGAAGCAGAAATGGTGGGAAGGAGGGAGGGAGCGGGGGGGGGCGCTTGTTATTTTGAATAGGCTGGGGGGACAGCGCTACTTTTAAGCAGCCTCTAAGGATGATGAGTGGGAAAAGAGGCTGACCCACTCAGCTTGTAATTTGTGTAAATAAATGCTCCCTTTTGTATGTTCTGGAAGTGCTCATCAAGAATTCTTCGCTGCTGAAAAGCATGAAGAATAACAGAAGAACTTATCTGCACAGAGTATTTGAATTGCTTTCTAAGGGTGTGCCATGACCGAGAGGTGTGCAAGGGAGTGCAAGGGAGGGCAAAGGCAGAAAGAAAGAAGAGAGCGTCCTTAGCAAGCTCATGGAGTTCATTGACACGTTCACACATTTTGCTGAGCTGTAATGGGAATGGGTCGTAGCACTGGGTTGCGTGAACTAAATCACAGTGGCTTGTGAAATAAGGTGGATGGCATTGTGCAGAAGCCACACCTAGCCAACTGTGGTTCACTAAACCATAATAAAACAAACGGTGGCTTAGTGCAATTGACTTATTGGTAAGATTTATTGACATACACCCCCCCCCCCATCTCAAGGGCCTCGAGGCAATACACAGTCCCAGTTACGTTCTCTGTTAAAGAGGAGGAATGCTTTTCAAGCCCGGAGGGAGACACACACAGCTTTGGAATCACTGACTGTGCATAATATGCTGGGCTAAAAAGTTAACAAACCCTCTTCCCCCTCATACAGAACGTTGCCACTTTGTCCAAACTGGAAGCCATTGTCGCTTGGTGACTCCTGAAACTCAGACTTGCCCCAAAGGCTTGCTAAAATTTCAAATCCTTGCTTTGGGAAACGGAAAGAAGTGCAGCTTTTTCGAGATCAGACCGTCTGCAAGAGGCAGGGGCAAAAGGATGGCGCAGAGAGGTGTTCAGCTGAATGCGCTGTATGCATGAGTCTGTTGCACAGGTGAAGATGGTCCTTCGGCAGATCTGCTCCCAGGTGGTTTAAAGCTGCTCTTTGAATTGGGGTCGGAGGCCACCAATTCTGGTCCTCCCTAGACCAGAAGGTATGAAGCTGTCGGTGCTCCCACATCGTAACCCATCTCCTCAGTTGGGGCCCTAACTCTAAACCAGTGCTGTAGCGCTGGACGCATAACCGGTCCCCACATTTCTTGAGTCTTCTCCTTCCTTCGCTCACCGTTTGCTCACGGCAGCTGAGGGAGATCCCAGAGGGAGGAGCTTCACTTGAGGTTTTTTGGGTCTGCATCTTCAAAGGATTGCCATGGCAACCCATCTTGCCAGCATATTCCTACAGCATGTCCTCATTATTAGGAAGGGTTGTCCCATTTTCCGTCTGTGTGTCTCAGATGATTTTTGCTTTCTTAGAAGGAGCTCCAAATTAGAACTGCCCTGCCATGGCACAGAAACAAGGAAGGGGCGGGTTGCGTAACGGGTTCCACAGTTCACAAAAACAACAAATGTGTATCTGCAGCCTGGTCCCCCTGGGAGGCTAAAGCACTTGCCAATGCTCTTAAATGCTCTTGTCATGCTGCCCAAGCCATGGGTTTATCCATCAACCTGGAGAGGCAAAGAGCTGAAACTGCAAAATACTGCAGTTAAAAAGGAAATTTCCACAGGTACCTGAACAAATCAGGAAGAAAAGACACCTCTAACCCAAAAAAGAAAAGAAAGAGAACCAGACACACGTCAGATTCTTTAGCAGGCAGTCTCTTTCTAATAGGAATTGGTATTGCTGGGGCTGCTGGATCTAGAGCAGTGTTTCTCAACCCTGGCAACTTGAAGACGTGTGGACTTCAACTCCCAGAGTTCCCCAGCCAGCATGGGAGTTCCAAGGTCACCTGTTGAAAACCTCTAGAGCAGTGTTTCTCAACCCTGGCAACTTGAAGACGTGGGGGCCTGGACTCCCAGAGTTCCCCAGCCAGCATGGGAGTTGAAGTCCACACGTCTTCAAGTTGCCAGGGTTGAGAAACACTGCTCTAGAGGTTTTCAACAGGTGACCTTGGCTCCATCAGCTTCGGGGAAGGGCAGCTCTACCTCAGGCAGAAAGACGCTCCAAAGGGGTGGATAAAAAGACAGGAAGGCCCCTCTTTGAGCGACGGGAACAGCAAAATGGCTGTGCTAACCTGCTTACCCCAAGTCGTGCGCTGGGTCTTCTCACTTGGGTATCTTGAGAGCCTTGGGTGAAGGCCGCCTGGATGTCTTAAGGGCCCCTTGGATGTGGCCATTGGCGACACTGGTTTCTGCTACAAAAGAGAGCGGAACATGCCTTTCAAGAGGAATCCTCTGCCATCCCCAAACTTCAGAAGAACTAGATCTGAAATCCCTTTATGGCTGAAATCTTGCTGAATAGAGAGATACCTGCCTGGCCCTAGACCTTGGATTGTCAGGCGATGAGTTAAGCTGAGCCCTGTAGGAGGCCCGGAATGACAAGGGTCACCGTGATAAGGCAGAGGCTGGGAGTGGTGGCTTAATCATTAGAGAGCGGTACCCAGCTGTGGATCCTCATCTTTCGGGCGGCTCTATGGGAGCTGGCTGCCACGTTGCGCACGACTCTCCAGCGCTGCCTTTACTTGCAACAATGCTCAAGGAAGTTACAAGGACTGCACGTGAAAGCCTGCTTCCTGCGCACCAGGGCACAGTTCTCGCAGCAGATTTCTGCCTTCCCTAGGGGAGGTTCTGGGGTCTCTCCCGAGGGAGAGAGGGCCTTTCGCTTGGTGAGTTGACTGAAAGCGCCAGGCCTTCCTGGCCGATGTAATCAGCCATGACTTAGTATGCTGGAAGTCTCCTGTGCAGCAGGATGGCAAGAACTCCCCTGGCAGGGCTGTGGGGAGAGCAGCAGGAAAGACCTTCCCATTTCCATTGTTGTTGTCAGAAAAGAGAAAGAAGACATTAGATGAGCAGGGCCTCCTTTGGGAAAAGTCCCTGGGGAAAAAAGGTCTCCCTGGAATTCATTTATGCTGGTGGTTGCAGCCAATTAGGAAAGGCTAAGGGTGCACATAATGAAGCACATGCCATTGAAGGGTGCACATCTGAAGTAAAGGGTAATGGCGTGCTTTCTGCTGCTTTCCCACTATTTAGAGGGACCAGACAAGGATGTCCACTCTCACCCTTGCTTTTTAAGGTCTGCGTGGAACCCTCGGCTTGCACTATTAGCGGTTGTTTTGACGGAGTTTCTGGCCACCGCGGGAGGTGGGAGTTAATGGGGGTTTTATTCTGTAAGCCGCCCAGAGTCGCTGTGTGTGAGTTGGGCAGCCACAGCAATTTGTTCAATCAATCAATCAATCAATCAATCAATCAGTAAATATTAGACTACGTAGGAAGATCTACCGAGTAGCACATAATTCAGTTAAACACAAACTGGCTTTATTTGCAGATGATATTCTTTTGTTTATTTCTAAACCTCACTCCACTATTCCAGTGTTGATGCAAATGACAGATGCCTTTCATAGAATAGCAGGATGCTCTGTTAACTGGTCCAAATTGGAATTGATGCCAGTAGGTGAAAATTTGGCTACCCATCCATTTCAGGAATATCAATTCCGTATTTGTACCGAATCCATTAAATATTTAGGTATGTGTGTACCAAAAGATATAACTCAATTAGTAACGTGTAATATAAATATAATATAGAGAGAGGTTTCTTCAGATATTGATAGATGGGGGTCATTAAACCTCACCCTTTGGGGGAAGGTGAATGCTCTCAAAATGAAT